TGGAAGGTTATGGCTCGAGCTTAGGTCAAAGAGGGGATTATTCAGACTCGTTTTTTCACTACTTTTCACCCTAGAACATTATCTTTCTCTATCTTTCATCTTAGTTTGGATTTTTGGAGGTTTTAAAACTCATTTTCTAGCTTTGGATTTGGTTGGCTTGTTGATTCATCGACTTGGATTTGGTATTAATCGTAAGCTTTTCTTTTCATTTTGCATATGAATGTGATGGCTTCTTTTATGATGAATGCTTGTGTTGATGTTGAGATGAGTGGCTAATTCCATAAGTTAGGGATAGGGGACGATTGTTTCGGTTCGTTTTCAATTACGTGTTTGATAATTGTTCAATCCTTGCGAGTTGTGCATATTCTAGGGTTAGTTGATTGATCACCAATCTAACCTAATCAATCGACGTTAGAACCGAAAGGGAAGGCGTCGGTCGATTTAGGCTCGTTTGGAATAGACTTGTTCGTTATTGTATTGTCTATGTGTTGTAGGGTTTGATGAGTTATTCGTGTATGTCCACCTTCTTGTTACGAAGAGTTATTGAAGGTGAACCTCTATACGAATAGGCGATTCAATTCCCTTAACCGAGCAATTGATTGCCCGGTAATTGAGTCAAGAACCGAGAACGATTGTCCCCGACTCCCTAACTCCTTCATAACCAAGTTAATCGTTTGTTTGAAATTCGTGTCCCTTGCTTTAATTTTCGTAGTTGATAAATCAAACCTCCAACTTGAATTAGAGTGTTTAGGATTTGTTTCTTTTTTTTTGTGATTGAATATTCGCATAGAATAATCCGGCTAACCTTCCTCGTGATACGACCCGGTGTCGAATCTTTGGATTCTACTCCGGTTAAAAATATTTACAACAAGAGGGCCGAGAGAGGTGAGATATTTAATGTGTGGGATTGGTACCGTATACAATAGGAATTCTTGCACAATAGAACTAGGAAACTGATAAAAATTAGGATTCTTTCTGGCTTGGATGAGAAATAAAATATCGTAGGGTCTTGAACTTTCATCTGGCTTAGGAAAATTGGACTGTTATTTTGAGCTCAGTTTATCATCTTAATAATTATTATCTTTTAATTAAAATTATATTAAATAAATTAAGCCATTTCAAAAATAATAATTATATCATTATTATTGCATTTTATATTTAGAAAAATTAAATAGATGAGGACATCAAATAATTCCCTTTTTAATCATTAACTTGATAAATAAATGAGTGTGGACACTCACTTAATTATCACATAAAATCGAGCTTACAATAAAAATAAAAATAACTTTATAAATCA